GGGGGGGACGACACACACGACATCATGCGGCCACCGCTGTGACGAGCGTGTCTGGCGCCCGCAGGCCTCGTGCTGTGCCGACAAGGTGCACTGCTGTCCCCACGCCACCGTCTGCGACCTGGCCCACGGGCGCTGCCTGTCACCCGCCGGCGATGTCCCCATGGGCACCGCGTTCCCCGCCTGGAAGCGCCAGCCCCCAGCGTCAGGTAAGGGATGTCCCCCTCCGGGTGGCGGGGTGTCCTCGCTGTCGCCACAGAGGGGCCGCAGAGGTGGGGAGGGGGCACGGTGACGCTGCGTGTGCGTGTCCCCGCAGTTGCGCTGCGCCAGGTGCTGTGCCCCGACGGCCGCTCGGCGTGTCCCGACGGTGCTACCTGCTGCCAGCTGTCCTCGGCGCAGTACGGCTGCTGTCCCCTGCAAAACGTGAGTGCTGGCCCTGCGCTGGCCACCCTGGCACCCATGCCAGGCACCCCACGCCGGCCACCCCACACTGGGCAGCCTGTACCAAACACCCCATGCCAGGCACCCCACACCAGCCCCCCTGTACTGGGCACCCCGTACCAGGCTCCCCACACCAGGAACCCCATACCAGACCCCCATGCTCAGCACCCCATACCAAGCAGCCCACACCAAGCACCCCATGCTGGGCACCCCACACCGAGCACCCCATGCCGGGCGCCCTGTATCGGGCACCGTGTCCCAAGCACCCCGTGCTGGTCACCTTGCACTGGCCACTGTGTGCTATCTGTCCCATGCTGGGCACCCCGTGCTGGGCACCCCATGCTGAGCACCCCATACTGGGCACCCCATGCCGGGCACCGAGCACCAGACCCCCCCATACCAGGCACCCTGTCCAAAGCACCTCGCACTAAGCACCCCGCACTGAGCCCCCCATGCCGGGCACCCAGTACCAGACCCCCCCATACCAGGCACCCTGTCCCAGGCACCCCATGCCAGGCACCCCGTGCCACGCAGGCCGTTCCTGGCACCCCAGACCAGCAGCCCACCCTGTCCATGGCACCGCTGGGACCCCCGGGCGGGCAGGGGTCCGGCAGGCACGGACAGCGGGCTCTCCCCGGGCAGGCGGTGTGCTGCGGCGACGGGCGGCACTGCTGCCCGCAGGGCACTGCCTGCGACCTGGAGCGCTCCACCTGCACCTCAGCAGCGGGGCGGGCACGGCCCCTGGCAGCCCTGCCCAAAGGTGAGGACCCCCCTGGGGGGCGGCCACCCCCAGTCCCAGCCCGGGGAGGGGACACCGGGTCTGACTGTACCCTTGTCCCCAGCTCGTGACGTGCAGTGTGACGAGGAGACGAGCTGCCCCGATGGGAACACGTGCTGCCGGCTGAGCTCGGGGGCCTGGGGGTGCTGCCCGCTGGAGGAGGTATGGGGGGGTCTGTCCTCCGGGAGGGACAGGGGTGGGGGTCTCCTGTGCCCCCCCGGGACGGGCTGGTGTCCCCTGTCCCCTGGGTGGGATGAGGACCAATGTCGCCTGGCCCCCACGAGGGACAGGGAGGGCTCCCACCTGCCCAATGTCCCACAGGGATGGGGGGTGACATTAGGCCCCCTTGCTGAGCCCCAGTCAGACCTCCTCTGCTACCTGGGACCAGCTTGGGGCGCCAGTGGCGGGAGGTGACAAAGGAGTGCGAGGCCACCAGCATGCTTGGGGACCTTCATGTGTCCCAGTGGGGGGGACAAGAGTAATGAGGGGGTCCCCATATCCCCCCTCACCCCTACGGGATGGAGCCAGGCTGGGATGGGGGGACAGGGGACAAGGGAGGGCAGGAACAGGCAGGGAGGGGGCAGGGTTGGTGCCCGGGCCTGGAGCCGGGGGTCCCCGGGGGTCCAGGCTGGGCTCAGCCCCCCCTTCTCGCCCCCCCAGGCCGTCTGCTGCCCCGACCACGTGCACTGCTGCCCCCAGGGCCACCACCGCCACCCCGG